AAGATGGTGCGTGGCCGGGATCCGAATTCTGTGGACATCGCTTTCCGAACGGAGCCGATTTGGAGGACCAAGTCGTACAAGCAGAAGGCTGGGGCAGCGGACCCTGATGCATTGCAGGATGCTCCGATGGAAGAGGTGAGCCAACATGTTCCAGATGCGCAGGAGTATGTCATGCCGGATTCCTTCCCGGAAGATATGTTGTATGAGCCACGGCCGGTTGCAGATGCAGCAGGGTCCAGCACTGATGGCCCTCCGGACCCTTTGGATGCAGCCATGCCGAATTTCGACCCGTTTGCCATGCCGATTGAAGAGGAGCTTTTGGATGCAGGCATGCATGGCTCTGGACATGCAGCCATGCCGATTGCGGATGGCCCAGCGATTGAATCCATGGTTGCGGATGTTCCGACTGCAGCTGGCCCATCGGTTGAAGCTGTGATGGATGGGATCCCACCAGAGCATGAGACAATGCAGGAGAGATACAATCGCCTCGCGGACACGTATGGTGAATCGGCTGCCCTTGCTTTGACTGGCATGGTGCAGGAAGGCTGGCATTATGATCCAGTTGCCCAGCAGTGGTCCCAGCTCCATGGGTTCGTGAGCCCACTCATGCCTGCCAGAGCCCCTGATGCTCCAGTGGCAGAGACTTTGCAGGACTCGGAGGTTCCGGCCATGTGTGTTCCTGGTGAGCGTGCCTTTGGCTTGGATGATCGATTGTTTGAGACGCTGAGCATCTCATCGGGTCTGCCCTCTCCGAAGGCTGATCAGCCTATGGAGGCAGCTGAGGGCAGCCCAGTCGGCGCAGGTCATATGATCACACTTAATCGGCAGCTTTTTTTTTTCGGGAGGGGGGACAGAGAGTTGCATGCATGGTTTGATTTTGCTAGTTACAATACCTTTTGTTATATCTGGTTTATACACCAAATTTACATGTATTATATGTGATATATATATATATGTACATAGATATATACAGTCACGAGTAGGTTTGTACAGTTGTTCATGTTTAGTTTGTTTTGCTGACTTGCTGCATGCATATATGTCTGCATGAGGTATGTCACTATACATCAATGCAACTTTACCCGAGTTATTGCTGTGGCCATTATATAAGTATCCGAATGAGCATGAAGCTGTCTGTATGTCTGTCTCTCTATATTTATACAATAGATTCAACAGTACATATATATATATATATATATGTGTGTGTTCGTATACATATATATATATATATATATATATATACAATATACATCTCTCTCTCTATGTGTATATATGTGCACGTGTCTGTGAAGATGTCTGGTATGCCAATTTGACATTATGCGTGTGCCTCTGCTTGACAACTCCTTCATACATAATGTGTGCATGCACACACACACATATACATATACAGTACGCACATGTGAGATATAATATGTCATAAGACTTGTTATATGTATGTTTATAGATCTCAGATGTATTACAATAGACAAAAGTTTCCAATACCGATGATGTCTTGTTATTTAGGCCTGACGGTGCGCTTTTGGAGAGATTGCTCACATATTGCAGTGATTCATGACTCCATGGTTGCATGTGGAATCATGATCAACATTTCCCTGATACTGCTGGTAATACTTGGCTGTATCTTATTAAATAAACTTCCAGGGTGAGCTCATGTATCCAGGCATGGCCATTTTGTGCATCATGAAGGGCTCCATGTCTGCATACTTGCATGGCTAAACTTGTGCACCTTGGAATGATCATAGCCTAGCACACTCAGAGACCTGAGGCAATGAGTCTGTGGAAGAGGCGAAGATGTTTCTTTTGCAGAAGCTGCACATGCAGCGTGAGAGGAGACTCTCTGCATCTGAAGTTTAGTGGTGGGGCTTGTGGAATTGTGATAAGTCCTGCTCCACAGGATCATGGCTGGAAGCATGCCAGACAATGTGGAGACATGCCCCATGGCCCCTGATGTTGCCAGTGCCTCTTGGCCATTCCATCCAGGTATTGAAGTCATGGATTCGTTTGGTTGCACCAGTGGCTTACCATGAGTAAGCTGAGGATGCTTTGGAGAAGCAGCGGCTGTTCAATGGCTCCTCTCGTGAGGTCCCATTCTGTAATGGATGTTACATGGTTTCATGTTCCTATCCTTGACAAGTGATAGGCCTTCCCGAGCCAGATCAAGATTAACGACACGCCCGATGGCCATAACGAGACTCTTGGCTTGCACAATCCTGTTTCTGAGTGAGCTTGACAAGTCAAAGTGCAGGAACATGCCAATCTCTCACACTCTCTCTCTCTCTCTCTCTCTCTCTCTCTCTCTCTCTCTCTCTCTCTCTCTCTCTCTCTCTCTCTCTCTCTCTCTCTCTCTTGTATCTATATATATATATATATACAAATACCCGATATGACACCCTGTCGGAACATAGAAAATAACATACTCGTAGCTGTGCATGTGATGTTGCAATTCCTGCATGCTAGTGTGCTATCCATGCAGCTGGGCTTCCAACCTGTTGCAATGTTTCTTCACTGTCACAAGTGACGGCACAGGATGATATGTTTACCAGACCACATTGATTGTACGACAGAGTATACCTAGTATTTTTTAAAGTGTTCAATGTTATCGTCGTTGTTTGGGTTACAATAACAATATAATACTTATATAACATCATATAACATGTACCAAACTTTTTTATATATACCTGTAGAAGTGAAGGCATCTAAGATATTATATACACATGTGCTGATGGTTATTGTGTGTGCATGATCATGCAGATGTGGGACAAGGGTTTAATATATATATATATATATATATATAGAAATATATACGTGTCGAGTTTCATACCTATAATAAATATAGTATTGTGGATAATTTCATACATAATACCAATGTAATTTTCCAATATATAGATGCCCATCAATCTACATATCTATATATATATATATAGACCCTTGTATTATGTGACTATCATGACACACATGTAGCATAATTGCCTTGAGGCCTCCATTCAAAAGATCTTTGGCCAGAGACTTCGAGAAAGTCTCTGAGGATCGGCGCCAGGAGCTGCTGGCAAGTGGGCCAAGTCAGGACTTGTTGGCAAGTGGGCCGCAGGAGGATCTGTTCGCAAGTGGGCCGCAGGAGGATCTGTTGGCAAGTGGGCCACAGGAGGATCTGTTGGCAAGTGGGCCACAGGAGGATCTGGCAAGTGGGCCGCAGGAGGATCTGGCAAGTGGGCTGCAGGAGGATCTGTCGGCAGAAGGGCCGCAGGAGGATCTTTCGGCAAATGGGCCGCCTGAGGCACAGGATGATGACATGCATCAGGGTCTTGAGTCATGTGGGCCAGAGTTGCCACCAGCTGCCCCGCCGTGTGAGCCTACAGAGGCTATGGATCCGGAAGATGTGCTAGATGTGCACAGCCAGGAGGAAGTGATGGCACATGACATGCAAGTGGAATTGCGAAAGAAGAGGCAGCTGGAACTCAAGCGACGCCGTGAGAACGATGCTGCTGTGAATGGTCAGGCCAAGAAGCCGAAGGCGACTGCAGCTAAGAGGATCATGAAGCGCCCGGCTGCAAAGCAGGCTGCTCCGGAAGAGCTTCCTGAGGATGGCTTGGCAGCGGGTGTGGCAGAGATTGCGGGGCCCTCTGCTGCTGGGGATGGCGTGGCAGCGGCTGCGGCAGAGATGGTGGAGCCACCTGTGGCTGAGGCAGAGATGGCGCCACCGGCTGCTGAGGATGCGGGAGTGGAGCCTGAGCCGAAGGCTAAGGGGCGTGGCCGTGGCCGTGGTGGACGTGGGGGTCGCAAAGGACGGATGATCCAAGAGGCTCCGGAGGCGAATGATGAGGTATCGGCTGCTGAGCCAAAGGCCAAGGCCAAGCGACGTGGCCGTGGTCCGGAGGCGAATGATGAGGTATCGGCTGCTGAGCCAAAGGCCAAGGCCAAGGGACGTGGCCGTGGTCCGGAGACGGATGATGAGGCATCGCCTGCTGAGCCAGAGGCCAAGGGCAAGGGACGTGGGCGTGGGCGCGGTGGCAGGAAGCCACAGGATGCAGAGCCTCGTGGCCGTGGTCGTGGAGCTGCACAGCGTGTTGCGGACAATGATGTGCCAGCAGAGGAGGAGGAGAAGACCCCCCCCCGTAAGGGGCTTTCGGATGAGCAGAAGAGGATCTGCAGGGAGTTGCTTGGCTGCTGTAGCATGAGCTTGAGTCGGTATTCGTGACACTTCCATGTGGAATATGAATATTCATGCTACAAGTTATCTGTGATAGTGCATACTCACGGCCCAAATGGTATACTTGTTTGTGCATGTACTCATGCATGTACCTGTACCTGAAGCATGCCACTTGGTATATGGTTAAAACCAGATATGCATATATATATATATATATATATATATATACAGATGTAATATACATCTACATCCAAATTTATATCGGGATCTATATCTAAATCGATATCTATGTCTTTATATATATATATATATATAATATACAGATCATTGTGCATGCATGCTTGAAGCATGCACTTGGTATATGGATGAGAGCATATATCTACTCATATATAAATAAATAAATATATATATATATATGTATATATAATGTAGTTCAGATCATTGCACAAGTGTATGCATGGGTATGGGGGTGTATGATGTCATAGTGGTGGGTTGCTAGAATTGATTGTGCACTGGACAGCTCAGAGAGGCTGATATTCGCTCAATGAAAGAGATTTGTTTTTAGAAGTCTGTATGTATATAATATATATATATATATACTCAGTATCCATACAATCTATACATTATATTATTCAGATATACAATCGTATATATATATATATATATATATATACATAGAGAGAGAGAGAGATATAACATCTGTGTGTAGCTTCTTTGGGCAGTGTCATGTGTGCCCTCGTCGCAAGAAGCTGTGAACTTCAGGCTGGTTCAGCAAGGTGCGAATTACCGTCTCGAGCTGTACTGGACGCGAGGTTCCATCGGTGTTCGGCAGAAGAATGGGCCCCAGGTTTGGAGCATGACATTCGGGAACATGAAAGTCGGCATCCTCGTGGCCAATGAGGTGGTGGCTCGGCAATGGTATGCCTTCTAGATTACATGCTCTCATGCTCTGAGCAGTGCAAGTCTTAGGGCAGGCATTGTAAATTGCAATTGCCATAACACAACATGGTGTTGAGGTCACATTGTGTGACAGAGATGTGAACATCAATGCTGTGGAAGTGCGCGAGAAGATCATGGAGTATCGTGCAGAGCTGGAGGCTAGGCATGGTGTGAGGTGGCCATGAGCAAAGCTCATCGGGCATCACTTTTGAGCAAAGGGATGAGCTTGTCCATTGCAAGGAAGTGTGCATACAGCATAAAAGGATGGTGGTAATATTCCCAGGAAGGATTGCTGTTTGGGCAAGCCGAGCCCTTCTTGCTGGAGGATTGGCAATGCGTGGGGATAGTATAGGGCTGTGTCGATACCAAGATAGGATGCAGGACCAGGCCAGCTGTGTCGCAGAATATGCGTGGAGATGAGCCTATAGACCCTGCTGCTGAACCAGTGGTCTTATGACTTACTGGCTGGGGTGGTGTTCCGCAGCCTCTGAACCTTACGTGCCACAGGGGATCCTCTAGATCGTTCTTGAAGCTCCGTGTGCTAGATGGAGACCAAAAAAAGGAGCTATTGCAGAGTGTGATCGTTTCGTCGGCTGACTGCTGCAAGTGCATGTGTGATGCTATACAATATATGTGTGCAGAGGCCGGTTGAGTGGATGTTGATGCTCTGAGGTCAGATACCACTCATGCCTGGGGGCAAGCGCCTGCTGAGACTTGCCTCCCAGTCGGATGCAGGTGGGCTGGGCATATCCTCAGCAGCAGAAGAATTATGAATTGTTTTGGTCTACGCAGGACAGCTCAGAGGTGAGTCTCTTCGGCAAGGCCGGTCCCGTCTTGGCTGCGGGAACATCTTTTTAATTATGAAACAACACCGGCCTGGTGTCTAGACCTGAAGACAACTGTTTCTGCATACTTCGATGAGCATGACATCTTTATAGCTTATGCAGCTACATGTGGAGAACCCAGTAGTTGGCCTTGGACTTATCCTGAGGATCTGTAGTTCTTCGTCTCATGTACATAAAATAATTAAATAAATAAATAGAAATATATACATATAACAAGTCTGGGTGCTATATGTGCTTGTAAACATAGCATGCAATGCCAGGTGCCCAATCCTGTGGATCTCGAGGTCCTGATGCTGATCAAGGTTGCAACCGTGCGCCAAAGCTCATGTTGTTCAGTGGTGCAGTTGCCAGCAGTTTCTGTGTTTTGAGTCATGAATGTATATGTGTATATATATATATATATTGTATATGTATACACTATGAATTTCTGTACAATCAAGACAATTAGTGTAATCTGTCGGATATGATATACTATATCTTATACTTGTCATGACCTCAAATGGCTGTATGCTGGGACCATGTCTGGTGCGCAGCTCTTTGGCTTAATTAGCTTAGCTTCTGTATAGTTCCCAAGATACACCTCTAGCAATTTATGTATAGTGCTATCTTATATAGATGCATGTTATATTCTTAAAGTGAGGCTGTCGTTGTAAGATACAGATTCTGAGCAGTCTTGATAAATCTGCTTGAGTGGCAATATCTCTCTCTGTCTCTCTGCAACTGCCCATCATGCACATTTGGCACTCGATGGAGCCCTAAATAGTGCTTTATCTACATCGATGCGAAGACCGGGCAGTCTTCTCTGGACTTGATAGTTATAGATAGCTGCACGCACCATGCCTGAATGGTCCTTGGATGTTCTTCTACGGAAGCTTTATCGTGCCAACATCCCATTTGCCTGCTGGCTGCAAATAGAGTCTCTTCTGGCTTTCTGCAGATCAGCATGGAAGTACAATGGTTCACAAATGAGTCTGTCAAGGTCCTATGTGTGGTCATCCTGCTCTTGATACACAATGCAGATCTGGACAAAACCTGGGCTGCATGGCTGCAGGGGCATGTCGAGGGTCTTTTCCGGTATATACATGTCTACAATATATGTATACAATTCGTTTTTGCATATATATATATATATATATGTGCACGTACATGAATAATGTATACACACCTCAACATGCATATCTATATCTTCATCTGTATATATATTATATATAACATACGAATGTGCATGGTTTATATATCTCAGTGTTTGTGTTCATACATGTATGCATTGTGCTGCTGTGAGCCAAGGCTGTTCGTCTAGTGTGTTCTCAAAAAAGCAGTGCAAAGTGAGAGTACAAGTGCAGAGTTGTTGCATAATATTATGATGTGCAAGAAATGGAACTGAAAGATGCTCTACAGATATGCTTAGATGTGTATAGAATATATATATATATATATATATATATATATGTACACTATGAACTTATGCCAAGTAATGATAAATGCATGCATTAAACGAATATGAAACTGAAGCCTCTTCTGACTAGCTGGTGGGTGACTCAGGAGTACATGTATAGGTATATCTGTATCTGTCTGTACTATCTTTTGTGCACACAACACAGTGTTGTCTGCATGTCTCATTGAGGTTTACCGCTTCGGTGAGCTTTTTGCTGGGGCAGCGAATGTCACTACTGCTGTGAAGCTCCATGGCATTCCTGCTTTCAAGATGGACAAAATCTATTACGGGGGTTTCGATTTCTTGGCACCGGCTGGATTCTCGTTCCTGGGCTGCTTTTAATGTAAAAAGGATCAGACCTTGACAGTTTCAATGCCATGCAGGTGTGGTTGCACATGTTTTATGGCATCTTCTTAGGCTGGCATTGCTGTCCATTCTACGTATGGCCCCTCAAAGTGTACTGCTTATGGCCCCGGACTGCAGCAGCTTCTCTTGGATGAGTAGCAGTGGATCTCAACGACACTGGTTTGCTCCGTTGGGTGATACTTCGAAGGATTGGGTGGTCCGGGGCAACCAGATGGCTGCCAGGTGCTGTGTGTGAACTGATTTCCAGACCTGGTTTTGGGCCAAGTGGGTTTCCTGAATATGTAGTATGTATAGCCCGTAACTGTCATTGTAATGTGACCCTGGTCAGGGTCACACTCTTGGCCCACCTCGTGGCAGCGCTTGGGCATGTCTTCATCATTGAGCAGCCTGGCAGTGCTGCATTCGGTCACCTTCCGTTGTGGCGGCGCTTTGTTGAAGACTGCTGCTATGTAACTCGAACATCTCAAAGACAGCTAAATGTGGGGTATGCAGTTTCAGAAAACTATATTATATACTTGCATGTAGTGCAGACATATACATGCATTCTGTGTCTACAGTTGTGCTTCCTGTGCTGCTCACAGGTCTATGTTTTACAGGTGTGTTATCCATGGTGCAGGTACACCCCTGTATGTGTGTTTGTGTGTATATGTCCATGAATCGTATCTGATATATATATATATATATATAATGTATACATGTTATCTGAGGTGTTCAAGCAGAAGATCTTTATGGCCATGCATGGTGGTGCCAGTGCCAAAAGCACCTGCTTCTGGTCGAATTCTTCACACATAGCTTTACTGGATCGAGGACCCATTCCAAAAGTGTCCTGGCAGGGAGTGGTTGCATACACTTGTTTCTGGATTTTCATACTGGCTCATGTGCTTCTGTGCTGTCACCGAGTCCAAACGAGCCACCCTGGTGCCGGTGGCCAAATACTACATTGATGCCAAAGGGGTGCGCAGATCCACAGGGAATAAGCATCGGCTCCGTCAAAGCCAGATCTGCTCTCAGTTGCATATGCTGTCTCACAGTCGGTTATGAAAATGCCTTTATGATTTGTAGATCATATATCATTAATATATATACATGTATATATATATATATTATATAATATATCCCTCTTTACATGAGTATATGTATAATCAATATATATATATATATATATATTATAATATATGCATGTATATGTATATAAAGATGTAAATTCGTGAGAATTCAGTACCTGCTCAGGACTTACCCTATGGACTTTGGTGATGCCCTGGCAGAGATCGTGCCGACCATGCATGAGGGCATCAAGGGCCTACGTGTGGCAAATGTGTCTGAGCTGCAGCTTCAAACATGGATGGAGCTGTGAGCCTATATATATGCATGGACATTATATCAACTGCCATGGTGTATGCTTGTTCTCTCTCATGCTCTCTCTCGCTCTCTCTCTCTCTCTCTCTCTCTCTCTCTCTCTCTCTCTATGTCTCTCTTTCTCCTTCTCACATGCTCTTACTGCCAAAAGCAATGTCTGAATTAACTATATATATATATATATATGATACATATATATATATATATATATGGCACAGAATGCAGCCTCAAGCTCTCTGTCATGCTCTGTGAATATATATATATATATGTATACATATATATGATGCATGTGTGGGTGTGCTGATGTGGGTTCCATACCATTTCTGGGAGTGCACTCTAGATTGTGGATATACTTGCTGTATTTATATTGGTTATTATATGTATGCCTGCTTCCTTCGAGGACGATGCTGGCATGTCCATTATGCACCTGCTGACTGCTATGTCAGCTGATCGCGACCTTTGGGAG